AGGTATGTGCTCATTTAAGGTGTGTACCCAGAAGTCGTTAAAGCAACACATTGGCTCATACTGACAATTGTGCCAGACAGCTCCATAGAAGGAAATCATTCCAGTTAGAGGGCCTGATGCCAAAGAAATTAAAGGGCATAACCCCATGGAAATACAGATGGATAGTAAATGTTGTTCCTTTGGAACATAATTCATTGATAGAACAAATGTTCTCTGGAAACATTTGTTATAAGAAAATTAATAAATGCTTTAGTTTTGTGTACAGTGATTGACAGCTCTTGAAGGAATGTTCTATGCAGCATCTGACTTTGACTCCAGTGTTCACTCTGGAATAGACTCTCTGACTCTCACTCTCTCTCTCTCTCTCTCTTTCTTACAAATGGAAATAGAAATGTTGAATGTTATAGCAGGAAATGGATTGAGCAGCACCTATGATTTTGGTTTTCTGACTCTAAATTCTTTCTACTCTATGAGCTCTAATCCCACAAATGATGTGCTTTTGTCTTGGTGGGTCCACATACCCATACCTCAAAAGCTATAGTCACCAAAGAAAAAGTACTAACACAATAAAATATGCTTCTATTTAGGTGTTTATTTTCATGGCTAATGATTCCATAAAGGAATTTTGCATTAACTAGACCTATTGGTGCCCAAAGGGGCAGAGGTAAATTTGGCTTCATATTTTGACTTGCAGAGAAGTAGATTCAACACTTATAGCTATGAATAATATGGTGGTTCAGAGTTCAGGTTCTAGAGACAGGCTGCCTGAATTTGAAGCTTTGCTCTGCCATGGCTAGCTGGGTGATGTTGGATAAATTATTTCACTCTTCTGTGGTTTAGTTTCCTCATTTGTAAAACGGGGATATTGATGGTGCTTAACTGATGAGGATACTTAAAAAGAGTAAATGAAATTCATGAAAAATACCTGGAACAGTGACGGCACATAATAAGCCCTGAGCAGTTGGTAGTGGTTAGTACTTTTGTCATAATCAATACTAGGATCATAACTTTGCACAATATGAGCTTCAGAAGCCCAACTTTAAATGAAAAACGCTGCAGATTTGGTAATACCTGTTAGCGTATTTCACAGTAAGAACACTGTACATTCATACATTTTTATATTATCCAAAGTTTTTCGGAAAATATTCTCTCATCATTCCTCTAATAAGGAGAGGACTAAAATCATTTTCACATTCATAAGAGAGGGAGTCTGAGACCTAGAAATTTGGGGTAACTTAACTGTTAGGCTCCGGAGCCAGAGTCTAGCCAGGTCTCCTGACCCCAGGAGTGACCTCAGGAAGCTGCGGTCACTTTGTTGGCCTTTGGCTCCTATATCATCAGCTACTCTTGGTACATGCTTTCCCTGACGGTCCAAGCTTCCTTGCCAGGTATAATGGCCACTGTTTGGTGCTTCCCCAGCATCAGCACCCTTTTTTATTGGAGAAGCCATGCGATTGGGGCAGGCCTGAGTCTACAGCCAGATCCCCTTGGATTCTGAGCTGTCCAATACAATTAACGGAACTCAGACTCCTGGCCATGTGATTGGATAAGCGGTGTCACATGACCCAGTGAGCCAATGAGAGGTTGCGAATCCTAGCACTTTAGCAGGAAATACTGCAGAAGGGTCCTCCCCTTCCGGTGGACAATGTGGGATGAGAACTACAGTTCCTTCAGCTACTGCTGTCCTGGGAGGGAGCTGGGAGCTGTCAGGGGATGGGGATGCTTCATAGAGATAAGCAAAGGATGAAGGCGGCAGAGGAAAGAAAGCCCCAGTCCCTGGTGACACCACTTGAGCTGGCAGAGAAGGCCTCATTTAAGGCAGCACCCACTTTAGACCTTTCAGTCAGTCACTTGAGTCAAAAACTTCCTTTGATTGTTGAAGCCTTCACATTGGGCCACTTGCAATCAAGAGTTCTGTCTGATATAACAAGCCTCCTAACATGACCTAAACAGATACTTCCAAGACAAGGGATGCTGTAGGCTGAACCAGTTTCACAGTCTTGACAAGGAATATATCCTCTCCATGGGGCTTGCCTCTGCTTCTGTTCCTTTCATTCTTTCATAGAGTACCTATCCAAGAGTCAATAGCCCATTTTATTCCCCATCAGGAGAGGAATATGATAGATATGAAGTGTCTCTATTATCAAAAAACCGTTGCTATGTGACTCAGACCATTAAAACCTTACTAGTAAAAATAAAATAGGAAAAGTCAAGGAAACCTGATCTCATAGGGCCAAGCCCCCATGAACACCTTTCTTTGCTATATTTGAGCTTCTGACATTAGCCATGTAGTTAAAACCTTCTCTTCTATTTTCCTCCCCATCTCTTGAGCTTATCCTATTATCCACCCCCTCTCGATTGCTCTCCCCTTTTCCAGAAATCCAGAAACCTTCTCTGGCTGTACTGCAAGCTGCTCAAACTCCCATTTCGCTAATCCTCTTCACCTCTCCCCTGAAATCCTGTCCCAGTGCTGACTTATGCCCACCCCAATCTCCCCCTCTGCTTCTGTCTCTGATACCATCATCCCCACTTTCAGTGAAATGTGAGATGAACAAATAGATGACACTGAACCCCACCCCAGTGCCCACGATGATTCACAACTGGTAACTGCTCCGTGCATCCCTCCTCCCAGGTGTGTTGATGACAAACTCAAATGAAAATGGTGGAGTTTTCTAGATTCCCCAAATCTCAGAATGGGGAAAAAAAAATTAGCCAATGAATCCAATGGCACATACTGGTATGAAGTATTACAAACAATGTGATTTAAACAGTAGCAAAGAATTTGCTTGAATCACTGACTTTAAAGCAAAGATAGATAAGGAGAACCGTATTAAAATCAGGGACTTCTGTTTACCAGAAAACACTTCTCACAGCTAAACGTCTCATTTCCAGCCTGGAGAAAGAGCTTCTGCAACTCATTAAGACTTGTACCCATACAGACATGACACAAAAGAGGCTATCAATAGCTAATAAGCACATGAGAGAGTGGGCAAACTCATTACTCCGTAGGGAGAGTAAATTTGCACCACCAGAAACCAGAATGGTAAATCTATATGATTTATATAAGTTTATTAATCTATATGATTTATAAATCCTAAAGAGGCTTTGAGCTTTCCTTAAATTGCACATAGACTTAAAGATATCCCATCTCCACCATTTAGTATAAAATAAACAGTTCATATAATGAAGTTCATTTGATCCATACCATTCTATGAAACAGGTTCTATGATCTCAATTTTACAGATGGACTCAGAGAGGGAGAAATGACTTGCCTCAGGTCACACAGCTAAATCAAGGGAAATCTGTGGTTTAAACCTTACCCCACTAGTTTTTCCTACTCTTCTCCATTCTATAATACATCTCCAACTCTTTGCTTAATGAAACATTAAGACAGCCAAACCCTGTGATGGAAGGGAAGAGACAAAGAAGGTGTGAAGGTACCCTGCACCAACTTCCCATGGCCCTATTTCACCCATCAACCCAGATACAAGTCTGCTTCTGGAAAGTGGTTTGCATCCTCCCCTTCACCAGTTTCCCACCCAGAGCCTTAGTCTAGACCAGAACCCAGCAAACTATAGCCCGTGAGCCAAGTTTGGCCCATCTCCTGTTTCCATAAAGTTTTATTGGAACACAGCTAGACCCATTTGTGTACCCGTCCTCTGTAGCAGCTTTTGCCCTACAATGGCAGGTAGTTGCAACACAAGTCCTATGACCCTCAGTGGCTAAAATATTTGCTATCTGGCCCTTTGTAGAAAAGTTGGCCAATTCCTGGTCTAGAGTAACAAACTTCCCTTATAATCAATCCCCCGTAATGACCAGGAGGAGACTCATTTTGTCATGTTGTTGTCCTAAGCAACAAGCCTCCTGGTCTCTCAGGTTCTATTGGCAAAGAGAGGCATTTAGATGCTCTGGATTCTGGAAAATTCTGAAGAGCCCCAAAGCTGCTTTCTCCTGACAGGCTCACCGCCTTCCTCCCAGAAGGACTTGTCTTGAGCAAGGCAACTACTGTCCTGTCTGTGAACTGCATTTACGTCTCATTACCGCACGGTGCAGTACTGATTTTGCATATCCTTTACAGTGTCACATTAAATTTGTTGCAAGCCTTATTTGATCCCAGCCTTAAACTCTACTCATGCATATTCTCTCTTCATAACTAGTTGCTTGTTGAATATGGCCAATTGCTCACAATTTACACAAAATCAAAGGGAACACTGACCAGAGTGCTGGGCTATTAGCTCATACTCCAAATTAATTCTGAGTGTGTTGTGGATGAAAGAAAACCCACTACAAAGCTAACAGCCAGAAAAGAGGTTGAGATTTCCTAAACTAAATATCAAAAGAGAACTATTAGTAAGTTTATGGATTGTGTAGTGGTTCTAGACTTCTAAAGCCAAAGCTATTAGCTTAAATTAAATAATTTCTGCCTTGACTAAAGCCTTCACTAAAATAATATGAGGATTTCTTAAATACATCTAAATCTTGTGAACTTGAATTTTATACTAGGAAAGAAGAAAAATTTACTTTCATATTCTAATAGTTCAACTCAGTGCATAAACTTTGAATAGTGGCTAGGGTTTTTTAAAGTCTCCAATTGGATCAGGCTCTGTTATTACATGCACTATCTCATTTAATTTTCCTACTAGCTATAAATAAGTACTGTTATTATCCCCATTTTATGATGGAGGAAATTAACACTTAGAGTGATAAAGTTGGTTGTAGAAGTTCCCAACACCGTCTCCATCCCTCTCTCTTCATTCTTTTATACCCCATGGTGTCTTATATCATAAAAAGTTACCAAAACCCATTTTCTACTAGCAGAAATCCCATTTACATGAGGGATTGGGCTACTTATTTATTCACAAAGCAGGCATTACAGACCTATTATATGCCAGGAACTGCTCTCTTTTCTGGACATGATTTTACTTTGTCTTCCGAATAACTTAATAACAGTACTTTTTTTGGATGACTGATCTGAGACTCAGAGAGGTAAAACAACTTACCCGAGCTTGCAGAGTTAGTAAATAACAGTAGGCGCTTAGGATGTCTGCAGGCGCTTTGAGGCCCCCTCTTAGGCACCCATGAGTGTTGTCTACCTTGGGCTGCGGAGGTTCTGAGGGTTGGGTGGAGCAAGACTGGGACTCAGAGCTGGGGCAGGGCCAGCTGCTCAGCTGACTGGGGGAAAGGGCGTGGAGGGAAACCCTCAGAGCACAGCCAAGTGGGGCTTGGGAGAGAAGGGAACCCCGGGAGATGCTCAAGTGTTTGCAGTGGTGAGCAATTCGACCCTGTGCTCCTGCGCGCGCCTGCAGTATACCCCCTCTCTGTCCCTTCCTCCCAACTCCCCAGAATGCTGCAAGTGAGGTCCCTCTTGCCCACGGATGTGTGACATTGTCTGAGGGTGACTTTTAGTGAGTTGTCCTAGATCTGGACAGCCGTGAGGCAGAACCAGAGACTGCTCGTGTGGGTGCAGGAGCCCAGGCTTGGGTGACCCACTAGCCTCTTGTCCAAGTTACATAAGTAATTTACAGGGAACTTACTTCAGCCCCTTCATGCCAACTACTTGATTCCATTGAATTAAGAACTCTTCAATACTTAAAAATTAAGTACTTTTTAACTTAAAAGATAATTTAAAAAACAAAAAAGGACTCTTTTCTGGTTATTTGAAATGAACCTTCTGTACTTCTTAGTATGAACTGGGAATTTACCTGTAAGAGCTCATCTAACCCTCACAATCTCATTTCCAAGCAGGTGCTGTTATGATCACCATTTTATAGAAAGGAAATTGCAGTCCAACCACACAGACTGCTAAAGAAAATGTGGTATATACACACTATGAAATATTATTTAGCCATAAAAAAGAATGAAATCATATCATTTGCGGGAAAAGGGGTGGCACTGAATCGTCATATTAAGTAAGATAAGCCAGTCTCAAAAAATAAGTACCATATGTTCTCTCTCATATGTGGAATCTAAAAAAAAATAGAAGAGCGACTGTTAGGCAAGAGGAAAGTGACTGGAGGAGAGGGAGGGGCCAAAGAGGTGGCTATGATCAGATCATGCATTATATGCATGAATGACATTGTCACAATGAATCCCATTGTTTTGTATAATTAATATGCACTAATAATTGTAATTTTTTTAAAAAAATCTTTTTCCTCCAAAAAAGAAACCACAACACTGCTTATAAAGAGCATAGCTGGGGCTTGAACTCAGGCAACACGGCTTTGGGGGCCACAGTCTGTACCGTGACACACCCCTGTCCGGTCCATGCAGTAATCACAGCATCTTCCCCTCCCTTCCCCTACTTCCCCTTCTTCCTCCTCAAGGCAGATCTGACTGACAAAGCAGATGAAGGCTACAGCTTGGCTGCTCCTGGACCCCTGTTCTGAGAGGTCTTTGTATTTTTCTAACAGGAAAAGACACTGGAGATGAACTTGGACTTATTGGCTCCCTGTCTGCCTTATTGGTGCCTCTCTGCCTCCCCTGCCTGATCACATCTGAAGAATAGGCTTGCTTGTCATTGGCTCATCTGCTACTTCCAAAGGAGACAGTCATTTTGTTTACACAGCGCAGAAAAGCATGTCTCTGGCCAGAACACAGGGACCAGGATAGAACCTTCCTTGGTGTATTAAACTTACTTTCCCCTCCCCCTTCCCTTCCCCGTCTCCCTCCCTCTCCTCCTCCTCCCCCCTTTTAGACAGGCTCTTTCTGTGTTGCCTAGGCTGGCCTTGAATCCTGGGCTGAAGCAACCCTCTTCCCTCAGCCTCCAAGTAGCTGGGACTACAGGTGCACACCACACACCCAGATTTTATGTGCAACATTTATAAAACTTGAAAAACTCTCCTTGAACTCTTTGAACCCTGCATATTGGTGCAGCCTACAACTTCTTTCTCAACACAGTAAACACATAACAGCAGTAAGATTGGAGAATCCCCCAGTAATCCGGCCAATACCAGCTTTACTCTTGCTTGTCTCAACCAAGATACAATCATCATAAATGGAATTCCAAGTAAATTGCTTGATTGGGTTGGAATCTGGGCCCATGGCGTCTTTCCACAAGGCAGAGAGGACTGAGAGCCAGCAATCTGGTGTGGTTGGAGGTGGGAAGAGATTTCTCCTCTTAGAAGAATCATTAACTTTTAGAGCCATTTTTGCAAATGTTAAGCCATTTATTTAGCAATTATGCAGGGAATACACACTGTCAGGGTGATCTGTGGGCACAGCTGCACACCAACATCTGGCATTGCCTCTGGAATCCCGCAGGACACATCTGCCAGCAGAAGAGCTCCTTTGGAGATCCCCTCACTGAGCCCTCAGAGGCTGAAATAGAAATGTCACTGTTAGGTCAGCCAGGGGGTCAGCAAGGGCAGGTTGGCCTGCTTCCGTGGAGAGACCATAGACCTGGTACATCCTAAGTGTAAAGAGTCAGGGTCTGTACTTTGGTCCACAGAAATTACTATTCAAGTAATAAATAAGCACTAAAATCTACTGGGCATCTATGATGGACCTGACATTGTCCTGTGTACTCTGGTGCACTTCCTAACAGAGAAGGATGAGCACTAGTGTTATTTCTGTGTTAACGAGTGAGAAAACTGAGGCTTAAAGAAGATGCATTAGGTACTCAAGCCCTGTAGCCAGCAAGCCACAGAGCCAGGGCTTGAGCTGACTCAGGGATCCATGCTTGTACCCATCGCCCTGCCTGGCCTCCCAAGGGGGTGGCAATAAAGGGACTGACCAGACAGATGGTACAACAGCAGACTGGCTCAGACCTCAGCCGCATCTTTCCGAGCCCCTTCTTGGTGTAAAGCACATATGTTGAGTGTGATGTGGTGAGCACACCAATGATGTGTTTAGCAGATGCAGATGGCGATCTCCACCTGCAGAGAGAGCACCCCACCTCTGACCTCCCACTGGTACCCTCTTAGCTCTTCCTCTCTACCCCTTTCCTTCTCCCTTTCCCAACATCACAATAAAAGACATCCGGGTAACTTTGGGCATGAGGAGCAAAGGAACTATGTTAAGCCATCCTCTTCTGTTTTCCCCTCTTTGAGTCTTTTCAAGATCTGTAGATATATGCAGCAACATACTTGCATGTTTCCAGAAAGTGGTATTCAGTCAAAAGTCCCCTCCTTCTCAAGGTCCCGTCTACCTTGTTCCCACCCTCAAGCCCTAGTGGCATTTTATGGTGATTCCTTCCAAACTAGGTGTATACATAGGACATCCCCCCACTCCTGATCATTTTCTTGGTGCTCTTTCCCTGTCAATTCTCAGGGAGAGTATCTTCGTTCTCTTTTTTATAGCTACATGGTATTCCAACTTATGGAAGTACCACAATTTTTAAAATCTTCCCCTTATTAATAAGCATCCAGGTGGTTTCTGATCATTTACTATTCTTGATATTTTGTCTTCTTATGTCTATATCTCAGTTGACTGGAAAACAGAGAGAAGGAGGGAGATGAATGGGTACCCATCACTATCCACCACTAAAAGCTACCCGGAGAGACTGCCATGTCCATTTTCACCCAAAGATCCCATTTCTCCTCAGCCCAGAAAAAAAAGCAAAATCCTAAACAAGGTCATCTATATATAGAACTGTGGTTCTTAATGCCCTAGAACTTTCATAAAAATAATAAATCCTCCCTAGATCTTTTATTTTAACTTCAGAGGATTTACTAAGGCAATATAAAATTCCACCCAACATAGCCTACCACCTCAAAAGGGGGTCCAGCAGAGAAGTTTATGCTTCTCTGGCTGGGCCCATTAGGGGCTAAGCAACAGGCCTCTCCACTAAGATATTTACTTCCCAGCCCTGCCCCATCCAAGACAGAGATGCATGCCTGAAGTTGCAAAGATGTCTTCTTGGTGTTAGCTACATCACCAAAACAGGGTATGTGTTTCTTTTCCTGCCTATTTAAGGTATGCACTAAAAAGAGAAATGCCAAGCAGCCACACCTGAGGAGGGGACTAGCCCTAAACAAAATGAGTCAGGAAACTCTTAAAGCCCTTAACCTTGTCCCGACAGCTGGGCCTTCCCTAAACTCAATTGTTGCTTTCAGAGCTCCCTTCTCCTTCTCTTTCTCAGTGTAAGTGATACTGTTGGTTCCCTGCCCATATCCTCTCGGGTGGTACCAGGGCAGGGCACATCAGCCTGTCTTTCAATGACCAGTATCTAGATCTCATCACCTAGGAGCTGTCTTCAACTACCCAATGTCCACTCTGCCCATGTTCAATGCAAGCTGGAAGTGTCCAGCAATTAACACCATCACTACTACCACCTTAGTGCCCTTCAACCAATGACTGGCCAAAGCCGGTATAAATAAATAACCTGTCTGCATTGCTGCTAAGAGCCAAGTATATGATGCATGGCATTTTTGGTCGAAAGGTGACGCCAGCTAGCCATTGAGATGATATGATTATGTTAAGATTTACATTCATATGGATATTGGACTCCTGCTGTTCACCTAGGCCGGCTACGGGACTCCTGGAGAGTTCCCATTGGTTGGGGAAGTACAGTAGGAGGGAGTTCCGGGGGAGGAGCTCTCTCGGCGGTCCGAGAGGAGGCCGCGTGGGTGGAAAAATCTTCCCGGGTGCGTACCAGACATTGGTGGCAGTTTCAAAAAATAAACTTTGTTCCTGCTTGAGTGGCTCGTGATTTTGTGCCCAGCCAGACTGCGGCAACTGGCGGCCCGCACGGGGAACGCCTGAAGCTTGGAGGTGAGTAAAATTGCTCGCCCCTGAGGGAAGGCAACAAAATGGGTGACCATTTCAAAAAACAATGTGTTCTCGTTTTGATTTATCTTGTTTTTGTTTCAAGCTGCCTATCCCTAGAATTTTCTCAGGCAAACTGGGAAAAATGGTTGGCTCAAGGTTTGAAGTTGTTCGGCCCTGAGAAAGAGAAAATTGATACAACTATTCTTTGTTCGGTTTTTGTTTCATTCTGTTTCGGTTTTGTTTTATGCTATCTTATTGGGTTGCGTTACCTTTATAGTAGATTAGAAACTAGTAAAAAACAAACCGAAAGACTGTTAAGTAAATTGTTAGAGGTCCAGACTATGGTAGAAAACATGTTAGGTCAAGCGAAAGAGAAGGTCTCTCAAGCTAGTCAGACAGAGGAAGATTTGAAGAAAGAAAGCTTAGAGGAAAAACAACCATCAGGCGGGGAATTACAACAGGAGGCTGCTACTAACCCCGTTCTATCACCAGAGGGCGTAATTCAACCAACAGCTCCATCTACAGCTGAGCGGCCCTCAACTCCCGTAGTTGATGGACGGAA